GATCACGAGGTCAAGAGATTGAGATCATCCTGGCCAACATGGTGAAACCCCGTCTCTACTAAAAATACAAAAATTAACTGGGTGTGGTGGCACACGCCTATAGTCCCAGCTACTCGAGAAGCTGAGGCAGGGGAATTGCTTGAACCTGAGAGGCAGAAGTTGCAGTGAGCCGAGATTGCACCACTGCACTCCAGCCTGGTGACAGAGCAAGACTCCATCTCAAAAAAAAAAAAAAAAAAAAAAAAAATACTCTTGGCAGGTGGGGACACACAGACAAGAGAGGTGCTTCTTCATATATCAGAACTTTGGGTCAGGGATGACCTTTGAGATTTGTATGTCGATCTGATGAAGAAATTGTTTTTAAAAAGCTGAAAAGCACAGATGGATACAATAATTGGCAGGTCTTATTTTAGTCAGTATCTGTCTCAATTCAGCCTCTACTTTGCTGCCCAGGGCTGTGTGTATGTCACTAACCTTTCCCAGGGAGTGCTGGTCAACCAGGAGAGCAGGCTGGATATTGTAGGGGAGCCCTGCCTCTCCAGGCAGCAGCAGGTAGGTCAAGACTCAGGCAGCCTCTCTTCCAAGCCTGGCTTCCTGGATCTTTGTCCAACCCTATCGTGTGATGGGAGGTACACAATGCAAATATAACCAAAGAGACCTAACTGGGTTGCTGCTGAAAACAAGGGCTTTTTCATATGAAAATGTCACATTAAGGAAAGAATACCACGCAAGCTGATAGAATACCACGCCACCTGTTCCCACAGGAAGGTGGAACCAAGGTGGTCCCTGCTTGTCCACGCATGGGGCACCATCTCTTGGTGTTGCTAGAGTAATGAATAAATGTTCTTGTATTCCAGTGAGTTTCCTAGTGGATGGTTCACTGACCTGTTTATTTGCAGGCCTAGATTCTTCTGTGTAAAAATGGAGACTTCATTTTGCCCTTAGCTTGAACCAGTGCTCAGTACCCACAAGTCCTATGTGATTCTGTCTACAAACTCGGTGGCAGTTGTTGGTGTAGTCCACCAAGTGTTTTTAGTACTTCACCTGGAACATGGAAGGATTATACTTCCTCCCATTGAAGCTGGGTGTGGCCACATCATTTGCATTGATGAGTGAAGGTGAATGGAACTGAGGTGTGTCACTGCCAGGCAGGAACTGGTGCAAGATTCATTCATCTTTCTCATTCTGGCAAAGCAACCAGCAACACCCGAGGCAGGGAAGTTCCATCAGCTTGTGTCTCTGAGTGAGTGGGATAAGCACACCCCCCGTGTTGGCCCCCAATGGACGTGCAGCATGAGAAATAAATATTTGTTCCTTTAAGCCACTAAAATATTGGGATTATTTGTTACTGATACATAATCTAGTCAATGCTAACTGATAGAAACTCCAGCTCCCTCCAAGAATGCTACCACCCCATACCTCAGTAATTAATAATCCACTGTTTTCCTCTAATTCATCAATATTTCATGCATTTTAGGTTTGTGCCTACAACTGAACTGTCTAAAACCAAGCCTCACATGTTATGCTTCCATATCCTTCACAATAGTAGAGTGTATTGGCTAAGTGCACTGGCTTTAGAGTCTAGCAGAACTGGGTCCAAATCCCAGACCTATTCAGTGTGACCTTGGCCAGGTGATTTAACCTGGATGAGCCTCAGTTTCCCTATTCCTAAAATGGGGATAACAAGGCAGGCATCCTGGATTGCTGTGAGCTTGGGATTTATTAAATCCCAGGGACTTAGCAAGAAGCCTGGCACACAGTACGATCCTAATGGTTTAACTTCAACAGTGCTGAACACACAGGAGGTGCTGACTTGCTGTGTGACTGGTGCCTCCTTTTGATGAGCAGGGTCTTCCAACTTTGGGCCCACAACCATAGCAACTTATAAGTCCCCCCTAAGAACTAATAAGCTATCAAATATTTGGAGACAGCTTTCATGAGTACCATTCAGATGTATTCTTTTAAAATAACATCATCAATCAAAACTGCAATGAGATACCACTTCATATCTACCAGGACGGCCACAATGAAAAAGACAGACAATAACAATAACAGGTGTTGGCAAGGATATGGAGAAAGTTGAACCGTCATACACTGCTGGCAGAATGTAAAATCATACAGAAGTTTTGACAAACGTCTGGCAGTTCCTTCAGCAGTTAAGCTTAGAGTTATCATATGATATAGTTTGGATGTTGTTCCTTGCAAATCTCATGTTGAAATTTGATCCCGGTGTTGGAGGTGGGGCCTGGTGGGAGTCATTTAGGCCATGGGGGCAGATCCCTCATGAATTGCTTGGTACCCTCCCCACAGTAATGGGCAAGTTCTCATTCTATTAGTTAAGGCAAGATCTGATTGCTAAAAAACAGCCCGGCACCTCCTCATCTCTCCTGCTCACTCTCTCGCCATGTGACATACCTGCTCCCCCTCCACCTTCTGCCAGGAGTAAAAGCTTCCTGAGGCCTCACCAGAAGCTGAGCAGATGCCAGCACCATGCTTGTACAGACTGCAGAACTGTGGGCCAAATAAACCTCTTTTCTTTATAAATTACCCAGCCTCTGGTATTTCTTTATAGCAATGCAAAACAGATTAACATCCCATATAACCCAGCACTTCCACTCCTAAGTATATACCCAAGAGAAATGAAAACATGTTTCCACACAAAAACTCACATATGAAAGTTCATGTAAGAATTATCCATAATAGCCAAACAGCAAAAACAACTCAAATGTCCATCAACTGATGAATGGTTAAACAAAATGTGATATATCCATGCAATGGAATATTATTTGGTCATAAAAATAATAATACATGCTAGAATATAGACAAACCTTGAAAACATTATGCTAAGTGAAAGAAGCCGGAAACAAATATTCCCATGTTGCATGACTCCATTTATATGAAACGTCCAGAATAGGCAGGTCCACAGAGACAGAAGGTTGTTTGCTGGGGGCTAGTGCTGTGGGATCAGGAATTAGGGAGTAATGGCCAAAGGGTGTGGGGTTTCTTTATGGGGTAATGAAAATGTTCCGGAATTCATGGTGATAGTTACAGAACTCCATGGATATACTTTTAAAAACCCCTCTGATTCGTACATTTTTAAAAGGTGGTTTTACGGTATGTGAATCATATTTCAATTTAAAAATATATCCTCTTCAACAAAAGCACAGGTGGGCACCTGTCCACATGGAAAGCTTTGCTTGGGGCAGGACAGGAAGACAATCATGCAGCATGTATCTTTAGAAACTTACAACAAAAAGTGGCAATGAGTTCTGCCCTCACCCGTGACAGATAAACATCCCTTCTCCAGAAGAGCCTGCCAGCCAGGGCAGCTCAGAGCCTCTCACAAAAAGTCTGCAAGGAGCAGCCCAGTCCTGACTTCTCTGGACACCTGGGAGTTGGATTCAGTGATCTCTGCAAACACACACTTGGCCAGAAAGTCCTGAAGCCAGTTTCTTGTACGGGCAACAGAGGAAGGTGGGAGGACTGCTGGAAGTGAGAGGGCTGAGGGGCGACAGAGCCAAATAAGATGAGGCTTAGCTACACTGAAATTCCCCTGTAAGTCAGTGGTGACCACTCTAAGGATAAGCTGGTAAGTCAGTGGCCAGCTTACCCACTCTGCGTATTTCTCTTACGTTCCAGGTGATGTCACCTGGGGTAGCAGACAACGCCAGTTGCCGGTAGTTCTCAGAGAATGGTGCCTGGTCACTGGGAAACTGGTGAGGTAAGAAACTGAGAGGAGGAGCAAAATCTCATTTTGAACAAGCCCTCCAGGTGACTCCAGTGCACACAAAGTTTGAAAACCACTGGCCTGAGGTGGGCAGATCATTTGAGGTCAGGAGTTTGAGACCAGCCCTGCCAATATGGTGAGACCCCATCTCTACTAAAAATATAAAATAGCTGAGCATGATGGCTGTAATCCCAGCTACTCAGGGGCTGAGGCAGGAGAATCGCTTGAACCCAGGAGGCAGAGGTTGCAGTGAGCTGAGATGGTGCCACTACACCCCAGCCCGGGTGACAGAGCTAGGCTCCATCACAAATAAAGAAAAAAAGAAAAACCACTGGCCTACACTCTGGCCATGGTCACCTCTCTTCCTCAGTATCAGAACCCTGGCTTTGCTTGGGAAAAAGGGGATCAGGGCCACATGCTTAGGACAGAGAAGAGGCCGACAGAAGGACTCAGGGCCACTGAGATCACAGAGCTGCTGCACCTGCCCTGACCGGCAAACCTCTAGTCTAAGCTTGTGCAGTTGGGAAAATTAAACCCCTAATTTGCTGAAGCTGCTGTTTTCAGGTTCCTGCTATTTACAACTGAATCCATTCTCTACCGGTGAACCTGGGGACAGGGGGTTCTGAAAACACCAGGTTTGTCCTGGTTGGAGAAGTGTGGAATTTGTCTCTTGCAGGAACCAAGCACATGGGCTGTCATACAGGCGAGGGGCCAGGGTTCAGAGCTAGATTTCTGGTTTCAGTTCTCTTCAGACAGGCCAGCTGGGCCAGGCCATGGGTGAAGTGGGCGTGCTCTGACCAGAGTGCCAGGGGTGCCATCCCGGGTGTCCATGCCTTGCCCCCTGCTTCAGTCTTGGCTGCTTTCTCCCAGGACCTGGCAGTTGACAACTCTCTCCCATGACAAAAAGTCTGGGCCTGGGTGGCTCCAGGGTCAGTTCAGTGACAATAACATCACCAAGGACCCTGGCTTTTTATTTTTATTTTTGTATTTTTTTGAGACGGAGTTTCGCTCTTGTTGCCCAGGTTGTGGTACAGTGGCGCAATCTCAGTTCATTGCAAACTCCGCGTCCTGGGTTCAAGCAATTCTCCTGCCTCAGTCTCTCGAGTAGCTGGGATTACAGGCATGCACCACCACGCTCAGCTAATTTTGTATTTTTAATAGAGATGGGGTTTCACTATGTTGGTGACTCCTGACCTCAGGTGATGTGCTCGCCTTGGCCTCCCAAAGTGCTGGGATTCAAGGCCTGAGCCACCACACCCAGCCCTGGCTTTTTAATTCATTAATTAAGTCAGTAAAGATTTGTTGAATACCTATTAGATGCCAGGTGCTGCTCTGGGTGTCGGGGAAGGGACCAGGGTGCTGCTCTCTGGAAGTTCACGTTTGTGCGTGTGTGAGTGCAGGTGAGCATATGAGTGAGAGAGTGTGAGCGTGTGCATGTATCAGGGAGCGTGAGTGAGTGCATGAGTGTGACTGTGTGTGTGTGAGAGTGCATGTGAGCATGAGGAAGTGTAAGAGTGTGTGTGTGAGAATAAACAAGTCCTTAAAGTGTGAAGGGCCAATATGCACTCGGAAAAACAATAAGGCAGGAAAAGGGAATAGAATGGTTAAGAAGGGGGTGCATTAGAAAGAAGGTGGTCAGAGAATGCCTCTCCAAGGTGGTGACATTTACACAGGGAGCTGAAGCAAGTGGGTGAACAGGCCAGGTGTCTGGGCTGAGATCACTCCAGGCTGAGAGCAGCCCAGGTGAAGCAGAACAGCCAGGGCAGAGGCCATGAGGCTGCAGTGTGCTGGAACATTCAAGGATCAGCAAGGAAGCCAGAGGTTGGCTTGGAGGGAGGGAGGGAGAGAGTAAAAGGATGAGATCAAAGAGGCAGCGGGGAGTCAGATCACATGGGGCTTTATGGATTTGGAATTTTATTCGTGGAGAGGGAGGGAGCCACCAGTGGGTTTTGAGGAGAGGAGCAATGAGTTCTGACTTCCGAACAGAGTTATCCTCACTACTGTGCACAGAACATTCTGAGGGACACCCACCATCCTCTGCTCCGCCACCCTCAGTGTTTTGGCTTTACCTTTAGACTTCTGTCCTCCAGGTCACAGGATGGTTGCCATGGCTCCAAATGTGACATGTACACCTCACTCATGTCCAGGCCACTGATGTCTGCAGATAAAACTAGATCACACCACAGATTTACGTTACTGTGAATTCACTGACCCCAGCCTCACTCGGCTCTCAATATTGCCTGGAAAACCTCCTCTATCTCCCCAGCAAGATTTAGCCCGTTCTCCCCAGCAGCTATTTCCAATTATCATCATTTTCTTCAAACCTGCAATACCACTACTGTCCTCTCAAGCAGATGGTCAACCTCTTATTTCACAGAAAAAAAACCAGAAATCATTAGATGGAAATCCCCTCAGCTGCCACCAAACCTATCATGAGGCTCTTGTCGGCATCTGCCTCATCGCCCTGCTTCCTCCGTGTGAGGCGGCCCTCACAGGTGTAAAGGGAGTCCGTCCTGGGCTTCCCCCATGCCACCCCCTCCAGCACATTCTCAGGGATGCATCCTATTGCTCACCTCCTCTTTCCCTCCTGTGTTTTCAACATCTTCCTTCTCTACTGGCTTCTTCCCATCTTTTCCCCAGTCTTAAAAAGAAATAAACAAACAAATGCTAAGTTAGAGACATCAAGCACAAAAGGTCACACACTGTAGGATTCCATTTATTTTCTATTTTCTCTCTCTCTGTCTTTCTCTCTCTCTCTATATATATATATATATATTTTGAATTTTAGTAGAGACAAGGTCTTGCTTGAACTCCTAAGGTTAAGTGATCCTCCCGCCTCAACCTCCCTAAGTGCTGGGATTACAGGTGTGACCCACTGCGCCCAGCCAGGATTCCATTTATATGAAATATTCAGTACAGGTAAATTCATAAAGACAGCAGATTAGTGGTTGCCTGGGGCTGAGGGGAGGGAGAATGGGAAGTGACTGCTTATTGTATATGGAATCTTTTTAGCAGATGATGAAATGTTTTGGAACCAGAGAGAAGTGATGGCTGCACAACACTGTGAATGTACTGAATGCCACTGTATGCTTTAAAATGGCTAATTTTGACCGGGCATGGTGGCTCACATCTGTAGTCCCAGCACTTTGGGAGGCTGAGGCAGGCTGATCACTTGAGGTCAGGAGTTTGAGACCAGCTTGGCCAACATGGCAAAACCCCATCTCTACTAAACATACAAAAATTACCCAAGTGTGGTGGCGGGCGCCTGTAATCCCAGCTACTCAGGAGGCTGAGGCAGGAGAATCGCTTAAACCTGGGAGGCGGAGGTTGCAGTGAGCAGAGATCAAGCAGTGGCTGTACTCCAGTCTGGGTGACAGAGTAAGACTCTGTCTATAAAATAAAATAAAATGGTTAATTTTATGTTATGTGAATTTCACCTCAATAGTAATAAGAAACAGACTCTCAATTTCATATTGTCTTCAGACACCTCAAACTTAATATGGTTAAAATTCAGCTCACCAATTGGCCCCTCGCTCCCTATTTCAGTCAGTGGTGTCTGGTCCACAATGTGTGGCCATACAGGTTGTAGCTGGCACAGAGGGCTCTAGCCAGGAGGAGTGTGGGAGACAGAATCTAGCCCATGTCACTCATAGGCTGTCACCTTGGCAATAGCTACCCCTGCTCAGCGGGCCCCTGTTTCTAACTCTCACAAAGGTACCTTATGGACTGGAGGTAGACTAGAAATAGAATTGCATGGCCCACCATTGTCGTGCGAGTCAGACACCTGAGCCTCATTCTTGACCTTTCTTTGGGCACATAGAACCATCACCCACACCATCCAGTCAATTACTAAGTCTTGTCAATTCTTCTTTCTGTCCTCTTCCCTCCAAGGCCACCAACCTGACCGGGCCACCATTATCTCTCACCTACAAATGTGGAGAACATAGATCTCCCATCCTTGTGCTTCTAGGATTAACGCTTGTGGCCAATTCACCTGGGGTGACAGGTGAACTTGTTTCTCCTTTAGGTGGAGCTCAGCAATGGAAAGACCATGGTAAGTGCCAGGGCCTCAGCCTCTTCTTCCCCTCCTCATCCTGGCCACAAGAAGGCAGTGATTCTCCAGAGGAGACCCAGGCGAATGCCTGGGTGGCTGCTCCAGGCCTAGATAGGAGGGAACCATTGGGTAGGGAGTGCTTGGAAACCCATTTGGCCCTCACGACAAAGGCATATTTGCCAACTGTTTATACAGGAATAAAGGTGAGGTTTGGCTTCCACAAGGAGGCCACCTGTGTCTATTTCTCAAACTGCTTTCACAGTGAGAATGAAAACCAAAAAAAAAAAGAGCCTGGATTACTAATCTAGAATTTTTATAAGGTTTCGGTTTCCATTTTCTTGCCAAAGTGATCCTTCTGACATGCAAATCCAATCCAATCATTCTGTTTCCCCTGAACAAAACCACACCCTGACATCTCATTGCCCTCATGATAAAATCCAACTCTTTAACAGGGCCTGAAGTACCCTGGGTGATCTGGTCCATGTTTAGCTCTCCAGACGTAACTCTCACCACTTCCTTCCTTGCCCTCTCTGCTTGTTGGGCAGCCATGGAATTGCGCCATCGAGGTCCCCTGCTGCAGGGAGCAGTCAAGTGACAGCCACAGCTCCTGCCCTTTGGGATCCCTCACTGCATCCCTCCAAAGCCACACGTCCCCTGAGCTAATTCCAGCCAAAGGCTGAGCATAGCATGGCACTAGCTTCTGCCTGATGGGGAATTCCTCTGAGGGCCAGCTTTGGCTCAGGGACTCCCCATCTGCCTGGCCAAAACCTTCTTAGAACCACGCGCAGTCTGAGACTTTCGTCTCCAATCATCCTTCCTGCCCTGGCTCCTTCCACCGGGTCAGACCCACATCATGATTCAGCAGAAAACTCCTCCTCTCGCCGCCTGCTCCTCCTGCTCTGTTAATGAACATGCCTGTCATACAGAACTACTTCCCATCACGTTCTTCTCTCCTCCCCTGGCTTTGTATGTGCTGCTCCCTCTGCCTGAAAGATTCTCTCCCTGACCCTTTCCCTGGCCAGCCTCTATGCACCCTACAGGATCCAGCTTAGTGGTCACTTCATTCACCAGAGACAGGCATTGATGGCTCACTGAGGCCCAGGCATTGTTCTGGGGGGCACTGGGGATGCAATAAGGAATACAAAATAGGTAAAGCCTCTGCTTTCACCAAGCTTATTTTGTGGTGAGTAAATGGTCAATAAACATATTTTTCAAAACAGATCCACAATCCGCTGGTAGAAAAGATCAGTACTATCAAGAGAATAAAGCAGCATGAGGGCATGGAATGGAATGACAAAGGCAGTGGGGTGGGGGGAGATTGTTTTAGACAGAAAGATTGGAGAAGGCTCCTTGTGGAGGTGACGCCTGAGCAGAGTCCTAAATAACATGAATGAGCGAGTCATGGAGCCATCTGGGGAAACTCTTTCCAGGCCAGGGGAAGGCATCCAGACAGCAGAGGGCAGCTGCAGGGGCCTGCCACTCATGGCTCTGGGGTGAGTGCCCTTCCTGTGGGCTCCTGCAGCCCCTCTTGCTTCCCTAGCAGAGGGCACGTGTACTAGTTAAGGGAAACTGACTGGTCTGCCTCCCCTTCAGACAGCAACTCGGTGAGGACAGGACACTTGCTCGTCAGCCTAACTTGTTAGTACCCTATTCCCTGAGCATTGCACAGCTCTCGATGTGCAGTAAGTTCTGATGGCTGAATGCATAATTACAATAGCTGTCCATTCATACAGTGTGCCTGGTTCTGTGCTAAAGGTTTCACTCATATTTTCTCACTTAGAATTCCTAATAGCAAAGTAGGTAGCATTATCATCCCCAGGTATATAGCCACAGTAGGCTATTCACACTTTCTGTGCCAGGCTCAAGGAAACAGGCACAGACAATTTAAATCACATATCATGGCTCTACAGCTGAAAAGTGTATTTCAAAATGTATAAAGGCTGGGTGTGGTGGCTCACACCTGTAATCCCAGCACTTTGGGAGTCTGAGGTGGGAGGCTTGCTTGAGGCCAGGAATTCAAGACCATCCTGGGCAAGATAGTGAGACCGTCTTTACAAAAAAAATTTTTTTTTTAATTAGCTGGGTGTGGTGGTACACGCCTGTGGTCCCAGCTACTCAGGAGGCTGAGAGAGGAGGTTCACTTGGGCCCAGGAGTTTGAGGCTGCAGTGAGCTTTGATCACACTCAGAGGCAGGGGGTGCCCCCAGCATGGTGTGATTTCGAAGGTGTTCGAAGGTGGAATTCTAACAGAAGGCTCCTAGCATGTTAGGGTCAGAAGGGATGTTTAGAAGATCCTACCCCATCTGTTGCACACAGGGACACTGAGTCAGAAGGCTGAAGTGACTCTGAGGCTGCCTTACTGTTCGCTCAAGCTTAAACTTGACAACAAGGATTACAAAAGCCATTTGATCAGAGGCCTGGCACTGCTTAACTGAAATGAGAAAACATGTTGCTGTAAGGATGATTATGTAAAGAAGGGATGCGGTTCACAGACTGGCCTTGCCCGTGTCTGCTGGAGCCCTGCCACAGTGACTCCAACATCCTGCCCACGCTGGCAAGCCCCGGCAGCCTTGGCCTGCTCTTTGCCTTAGCGTTGCCATGCTGCTTGCTGCAATGCCAACTGAACCCGTGTGCCGGCCACTCCCTGCCACTTTGGCAGTTCCTCTGGTGCTCCTGGCAGTGCCAGACACTATGCCATAGTTCAGGCTTTCCCCACCCCTGGAGCAAAAGAAACGTGCAAAAGGCCCATCGTTCTTACCACGGGAGAGGATGCATTCAGCCCCATCATTTTACAGCAGTGAAAACTGAGTCCATGAGGGACGACGTGACTTGCCCAAGGTTCCAAAGCTGGTTGGGGGCAGAGCCTAAGCAAGACTCTTGGTCATGGTTTCTTCCTGCTTTGGGGCTTCTGCCTTCTCTCTGGCTCTCTTCTCTAGTGATCCCCATGCTGCTTCCGTCTCCCTGTCCTCGCCCAAGGCCCCAGCATTAGTCCCAGCCACCATCCCTCATGCCCCATCACCTCCTCTCTCAGCCTCTGCTCTGCTCTTGCCCCTCCAATCTATTCTCAAAAACATAAGTCAGGTCACATTACTTCCCTACCAAAAGCCCCTGATCACTCCGCCTCACCCAGAGGAGGGATCCTTGGCATGGCATTCTGGTCCTCCCCAGCCCAGTCCCAACTGACCTCTTCAGGTTCATTCCTAAGGCATCGCTACACACCGCTGATATTCCAACCACACTACTCAACTACCCCATAGACTGCTGCGAGGATTCAATAACGTCTAATAAGCGGACAGCACCTGGAGTGTAGTAAGAGCTGTCACCTGTGTGGGCTGGGCACTTTTCCACCAGACTGACTTCTAGAGCCCACCTGAGCTGGCTAGTGGGCGAGCACTGCTCTGCTGTCTGAGCCCAGACACATGTCCTTAGCTGTGACCCTGGCCAGACCCTCACCTCCCCAGGTCCAGGTTACACGCCCCAAGGAAAAAGGTACAATGAAGAACCCCTCTGCTGTCCACCATTTCTCAGGAACTTTTTCATTTTTTGAGAAAAAATTTGACGTGGTTCCTATGAAATGGCCGCATGGTTTATTATTAGTTCCTGGCCCTCAAGAGCAGCAGGGAGCCACTGTCCCCCTTGGGTCCCCACCGTCATAGCTGCAGGTCTCAACCTGGGGCTGGGGAAAGAGCCCTGAATATTCCCCACGGGGCACAGGGGCGGAACGGGCCGTAGGTGCTCATTGTGTTCTAGCTACTCATTCGCACAGGAGGCACTTGCAGCCTTACAGGCTAAGGCATAAGAGCCCAGTTTCATTAATGCATCCTATCACACCCAGAGGTGAGCTGTGGGCAGTGAGCAGTCCCAGTCGCAGCCTCCATGATGAAGGCAGATTCCTACCTGCTCTGAAAACCTGGCAGCTGTTGGCTCATGAGGTTATCCACCTGTCCGTCTGTCCATCCATCCAATCATCCATCCATTTCTCCAGGGGACATTAACTTTGCCTCTTTTCCATGTTTATTTGCTGAACAAAACCCAGTGGGAGAATAAAGAAGATCAGAAAAGCAAACCAGCTCTCCAAAACTCACTTTGATTTTTCCTTTCTCCTCCCTCTTTCCTTTTTTCCTTTCTTATACCTGGGGTACATATGGGGTGTCATGCAAGATAAGTTACAAATAAGGATGAATTCAATTATCTCCCCTTGTTATAGTTCATTCAGTTTCTGAAATATTTCAAACAAATGGACAAATATGGAGAATAACGTAACAGTCATAAAAGACCCATCATCCGCTCCAATGAACATTAACTTTTCACCATATTTGCTTCGAGGTTTTTGTTTTCTTAGGAAACAAAATGCCATGATTCCAGTTGAAGTTACCTTCCTCAACATCACTCTGCCTCCTTTCTCTACAAGCTCTTCCCATCCAGTGTGGTGTCTTCCAGCAGGATTTAGCTTTTACTAGGCCCCTAGGTTTAGACCCCATAAACAATACATAGGAGTTTCCCAAACTCATATGGGAGTTTTGGATTTTGGATTTTATGGGCATGCTATCATACTGTGTCTCCTTTTGTGACTTGCTTTCTAATTTTATTGGATTTTTTAAAGTTGCATGCGTAATACATGCTGGTTATAACAAGTTCAAGCAACACAGAGATAGAGTAAGGAAAAGTTAATCATCTCCATCTGCCTAACTCGAATCCCACTGCTAACAGTTTAACAAACATCTTTCTGCACCTTTTCTGCTGCTCACACAAACATACACAGAGGCTTCATCATAAAAGCTCATGAAATGCTGAAGAAAGAGCCGGAGAAAGTTCAGGACAAGCCAGAGAGCATCTAGACCGGCAACATGAACAGACATGGCTCTCCTGTGCTACAGCAGTGAGAGGCAGCAGAGGAAGACGTGCAACTTCCCCTGCCGTTAGCCCACATCCTGCTGGGTTTCCCCACTCACACCCCCCACGTGACAGGCCCAGTGGTCTGAGAGGTATCCAGGGTCAGTGGTGAGCAGTGTCCTTTCTATTAAATGTCCTTGGACCTGGCAAATGGGGAGGGTCCAGGCCGTCACTCGCCGGCTGGGTGACGATGGCAAGCCTCTGTAGTAAAGGGGCCACAAGACCCCTGAAGTCCTTCCTGATTGATGATTGTCAATCAGATTGCTCTGACAGAGAGAGGAGCTGCTGGTGGGTCTGAGAAGTGGAAGAGCTTTGGGAAGCTAGACTGTCGAAGCTCACACTCTGGCTTTAGTTGTGCCTGAGAAGGGATTCAAGGATGATATGTGTTTTCTGACTGCTCCATGAACCAGGAATGAGTACACTGGATGCCAAGCAAGTTTCCAAGTGTTGGATTTTGTTTACTTGTTTGTTTTCTTCTCTTTTCACTTTTTAAAAGTGTAATAGGACCAGGCATGTTATGCCCAGAGCTGGAATGGAACTTTGTTTTTTTTTTGTTTTTTTTTTTTTTGCCCTTGCCAAAAGAAAAAACAGAATCAATCATTAGAGCTTCCTTTTTTTTTTTTTTTTTTTTTTTTTCAAAATTAGTTTCATGTCACTGCAAAGCAGTAAGAGAAACCGAATGCAAGAAGGCTTTGGTCAGCTCCATCTGGGAGGTCTGTTCACTTGTTGACCCTTGAGGCTGTAATAGCTTGGAGAGGAGTATAAACTTTGCTGGGACTTATAAATTGAGATTTGACATGATCTCTAAGGATCTCTCCAGTTGTTAAATTCTATAATTCTTTGTTTCTTTTCTTTTTCCACATATATTCATTCAACAAACTTTTTTTGAGTGCCTAGTATGTGTCAATCATTGTTCTAATAGCTGGGGATATCAGTGAAAAATCAGACAAACTCCCACCTCATGGAACGAAGAACTCCTTACACACAATGTCGACACACAAGGACTTCCAGCTTCATCAATATGCCAATAATTCAGTCACGCACCTTTCAGAGTGTATAGATCCCCATGACACCCTCATGACGTGGGTAGGACAGGTATTCCTAGTCCCCTTTGCCAAATGGGCAGACCAGGAACCACTACATGTAAGAATGGAACCTCAGAATGAACGATATTGTAGTCTCCAAGGAGACACAGCAGAGGTGGAATGCCCCAGATCTCACTTCCTGGAGCCTCTGTCCAGCTCATCTCACAGAATGGGAAAATCCGCTGTGCACGTCTTCCGATATCATGCCAAGGAGAAGCTTAAGTTTCCAGACCTGACGCAAAAAGCTGGTGGTGAATTCTGAAAAATGATACTGGGTAAGAGAGGCTAGGATTCCTGACTCCTTGAGCAAATAAAGCTCCCTACCCTGCGTCATTTGTCCATAATGTTTAAAACCCCATTTGGTATCCTTAAAGTTGAAAATAGCTCTCTCATTCTTCATTTTTCCCTTTCTTTCCTTTTCCCTGGCCTGATATTGGCCCCAACAGCAGCAGTCTACAGCCCCTGTGCAGGCCAGGGCACTGACCCCTCCTCAGGCCCCAGTAGAGGGGCAGGTGGCCATTCAATCTCTTCCATCAATGCCTTCCAATACCAGCCCAGGGATTCCCCAAATTGCCCAATGGGGCCTTTCCAGGGCACTTAATAACTTGCCCATAGCCCTGGATCCCCTAGCTCTGGGATCCTGGCCAATATTCTCCAAACTCTTTTCATGAGCAATGAAAGGGCTCTTTAGTGTTGCGGTCAAATGCAGCATCTTTTCTCCCTTTTTCTTGGAGGGCTGTGAACCCCTTTAGGCTGCTGCTGTCTCTCCAGCATGGCCCATCTATCAGAGAGTTCAGATCCCGAGTGTGGGCCTGCTGGGTAAGAAGGGGGCTTCTGTGGTGACTGGGGAGTTTGGAGCTCCCAACAAACTCTCAGGCAGCCTCAAGTTGGCAGCACAGACATAAGAGATTATCTGAACCGAATCTGCTCCTAAAAATATGCTGCATAGAACACTTTAGTGTGTTCACGAAGATCATGGCAAAAAAAAAAAAAGGAAAATTTTAGGATAACAAGTGTCTATATTTCATTAAAATAGAGAAACAGGGCGGGGTGTGGTGGCTCACACCTAGCCCATAAAACCCAGCACTTTGGGAGGCCAAGGTGGAAGAACTGCTTGAGGACAGGAGTTTGAGACCAGCCCGGACAACATATATCTGTATAAATTAAAATTTTAAAAAATAAAAAATGAAAAATAAATAAAAAGGAGAAAATGATAATGCATTGCCAACCTATCCAAAAACCTCAATCAATATCCTCTTAATCACTAAGACACTCAAACATTTATGTAAATATCCACCAAGGAGCTCTGAACAATAGAAATCAGTGTTTCCCAGAGTACGATCCTGGACCAGCAGCATTAGTATCACTTGGGAACTTGTAAAAAATGCAGATTATCAAGGGAGGGTATGGTGGCTCACACTTGTAATCCCAGCACTTTGGGAGGCCAAGGTGGGGGGATCATTTGAGCTCAGGAGTTCGAGATCAGCTTGGGCAACATGGTGAAACTTCATCTTTACAAAAAGTACCAAAAAGTTAGCCAGGCATGGTGGCACATGCCTGTGGTCCCAGCTACTCAGGAGGCTTAGGTGGGAGGATGGCTGGAGCTGGAACCTGGGAGGCAGAGGTTGCAGTGAACCAAGATCTCACCACTGCACTCCAGCATGGGCAACAGAGCCAGACCTTTTCTCAAAAAAAAAAAAAAAAAAAAAAAAAGAAGCAAATTCTCAGACCCCACTATAAACCTACTAAAGCAGACTCTGAGATGTGGTTCAGCAATCTGAGTTTTGGCAAAACCTCCAAGAGATTCTGATGCTTGCTGAGGTCTAAGAATCACTGATATAAAGCATTGAACAATTATCTAATTATTTAACATTGGGTGAAATCATCAGTGGGTACCTTTGTGTTCAAGATACTATCATATTGGATTGAGTTATTAGATATGAACTACATTTTACTTCTCCATCACAAAAAAATAAAAATAGTGACATCACTTATTAAGAATCCACAGTGAATGCATAGAGTGCCCAGAAAGAATTGGACATGCACGTGCACGGGACATGTGCATGCCTGTGTTCATATCACATATGATTTTGCCTCTCACAATACACTTGATTACTTTTCCCTTCCTTCCTTCCTTCCTTCCTTCCTTCCTTCCTTCCTTCCTTCCTTCCTTTCGTGTGTGTGTGTGTTTGTGTGTGTGTGTGATGGAGTGTCACTCTTGTTGCCCAGGCTGGAGTGCAATGGCGCAATCTCTGCTAACTGCAAACTCTGCCTCCCGGGTTCAAGCGATTCTCCTGCCTCAGCCTCCTGAGCAGCTGGGATTATAGGCACCCGCCACCGTGCTCAGCTTATTTTTGTATTTTTAGTAGAGACGGGGTTTCACCATGTTGGTCAGGCTGGTCTCGAACTCCTGACCTCAAGTGATCCACCCACCTTGGCTTCCCAAAGTGCTGGGATTACGGGCATGAGCCACCACACCTGGCCTCAACTTTTCTTCGTCTAATGTGTGGGGGTTGTTGAGGCCTCTTAGGCTCAACAGCTTTATTCATAGGCTTTTCAACTTTCTTACAAGACATTTTCCCAATATGGCAGAACAACATAGACATGAGAGGCGCTTCTACCAGGAGGAGAGCTGAAATGTGCCTGTCACACATCCTCCACCCTTCCACTAGGACCTGGAAGGTTGCTGGACAGCAGATTGTAATAGAGTATTTTGATTTACATAGCACATTTTTTTCTTCTCTTTTTTAAGCTACCAATTCTTGAACCTGCATCACATAGCAAATTTTACGTAAAAATGTTGCTAGGTCTCTATAATAAATGTTTGGAGAGTGAAAGTTCAAATGGTGGGTCTCACTCTTGGAGGAAGTGCTGATGAATGAATGGATGCTGGCCTCAGTTCCCAACCTGTCCAGGCACAGCAGGGTGATTCAGGACTGAATTCCCAGTCCCTGCGGGCTAATAGACGGTCCTAGCCTATTTGTTTACACAACCGTCCTGGCAGTTGTTTAACTTCAGCCTCATTTCAGATGCAAAATATTACAAGTGCTTTCTCTTTGCAGGTCCAGAAGGAAATGTCAGGCGAAGATTTTATCTGTTATCTTCGTGTGAGGGCTTAAATGAAGAACCAGGAATTGAAAGAGATTAATTCGTCACATTATTATGGAGGCCTGTCATGCCTGGGTGTGAGAAGGACAAGAATGATTAAGACAGGGGATGCCGACCTCTATGGGCTTACAATGTAGAGGAGTTAGAACTTGAGGTTGCAATGGAAACTGAAAATTCAAGTCTTTTATCTCCTGGGGAAGGCTGTACCAAGGGTAATGCTTCTCATTTATTTATGTGTTAAATAATGTATTTTATAAATTGGCCGGCCGGGTGCGATGGCTCACACCTGTAATCCTAACACTTTGGGAGGCCGAGGCAGGTGGATCATATGAGGTCAGGAGTTTGAAACCAGCCTGGCCAACATGGTGAAACCCCGTCTCTACTAAAAATATTTAAAAAGTTAGCTGGGCGTGGTGGTGTGTGCCTGTAATCATAGCTACCTGGCAGGCTGAGGCAGGAGAATTGCCTGAACCTGGGAGGCAAAGTTTGCAGGAAGCGGAGGTCGCACCACTGTGCTCCAGCCTGGGTCACAGCGAGATTCTGTCTCAAAAAAAAAGTGTTTAACAATAATGTATTGTACACTTAAAAATTTTGGGGGGTAGATCTTATGTTAAGCCTTCTTACCACAATAAATTTTTAAAAATAAAATGACTTAGTTAATATTGCATTCTTTTTGTTAAAAAATTCCTGTGCTCATCATTAGGAAGCTGCATAGCAAGGGGGTCTTACCCCTGATACTGCTACTGTCAGCACGACTTCTGGGAATGAGGCACTGTGGTGGGGTCTTCCTCTTCCAAGACCATGATGGGGTCTGGGTGGATGCCTTCCTCTCCTTGCTGGGGTGGGAAATTGGGAGGTGTTGCAAAGCAGTGGTTGTGGCAGCTTCTGATGAAGAAGTCAGTGGTGTCTGGTTTTCAAGGTCAACAAGGGGAATAAATAGTACCTACCTCTCCTCCCTCATCCACTGTGCTATGTTGTGTTATTAGGAGCTTCACTTGCCTCATGGGAAAATTAATAAATGTTTTTTAAAGCCCAGTCTCAAACGTTGCAGAGGCATGAGGTGAGGCTAAAGATTAAGGGTGGGTATGACCTGTCCAAAGGGGAGACAGGGACTCTAGAGACAGGGGACCTAGGGGAGGAAGAGTGCCACAGAGGCAGAGACCTGCATATACCCTCTCAGTGCCCCAGGGACTTTGAGGCCCCTGGGGAGGTTCCTTGTGAGCCAGGGCAGCAGGGGCTGGGGAGCCACTGCACGGCTGGCGGTTTGCCTGGACCTAGGATCAGGTTCCTCACAGACTCGTCCCACGGAGATGGAGGCCTGCTCCAGGGATGGGGCTACACTAGGCTTCCCATCAGTTGGCAGGCAGGTGCTCACAGTCGGATGGATTAAATTTTTTTAAAAAGGAGAAATATGACATTTCTCATACCTGAATGTTGTGAAGTAAATTTATACCCATTAGACTTGACTCTGGATAAACGCGTCCCTGCAATCTTCTGGCAAGTGAGAGGCATTGAAGGATGCACCAGAGAGCAGGGACCTGTGGAGGGTTAGAAAACAAAGCCCTTTGAGGGAGCTGAAGAGATGATCTCATGGCCAAAAACGGACAAACAGGGAGTCGCATATGACAAAGGCAAAACGGAAGGGGCTCCCTTTACCACAAGAAAGTCTTCCAGTACCTTGTGGGGTCTGTGGGACCCAGAGAAAGTGGGGCAAGCAGTTGGGCTGTGGGCCAAGGTCTTATCGAGCACTTGTGGTCAAACACAGAGCATGTATTGTGCTCCCTTCAGAGCTGGAGCCTGATGGAGGACTGGGCTGGAGACAAAACACTACAGAAAGGCCACCCACATCTCCTGTCGCGTGAAAATGGAGAATTTGGCCATACAGGAGGAGAGGAAGGGATCCTGACTTGTCTACCAACCATGCAATTCACGTCACTGTGTATTTTTTATGCTTGTGAAACAGAATGGAACTCTGTGCCAAGAGCTTCAGAGAAGAACATAATCTGGTCGAGTGTGATGAATATTCTCAAATATTAAGGCACTGTTTGATGTTCATGCCCAGCCACTCCTCTCTCAGAATCCACCATGTTTGTACCCCCAGGGAGGCAGCTGACCCAGGACATGCCAATCAGCCTCGCTTTCCTGGGAATATGCGGTTGGGAGTAAGAGAGCGTGAGTTCTTCTCCACATGGGAGTGTAACATGTTGAGTAAACTTGGAGCTATGGAGAGGAGAAGGCGGAAAGCATTTTCCACCCGGGGGCCAGGAAGAGAGAAACCAGGCTGCAGAGAGAATGCAGACGAAGTCAAACCACAGAGAAAACCAAGATACGGAAGAGTCCAAGTGGCCTTCCAGTTCCTAATTCTAGTCCTTCCAGAGACCTCTTAGCCTTCCTGCCCTGGGGTTCTGAGATATAACCCAGGATCCTTACAATTTACCTTTTTTTGTTCAAACCAGTTCTCATTGGTTCTGTAACTTGCAATCAATGAGTCTTAAGTAGCCCATCAGGAATGACACATCAGACAAACAGAGCAAGTGACTCACCATTTTGTGTTTATTTATGTAGTAAAACACACAGAACAGTAACCATTTTTAAGTGTATGCTTCTGTGGCATTAAGTACATTCACATTAGTGTGAATCATCGCTACCATGCATCTCCAGAACCTTCTTTCTTTCTTTTCTTTTTTTTTTTTCAGAAACAGGGTCTCACTCTATTGCCCAGGCTGGAGTGCAGTGGTGCAATCATGGCTGATTACAATCTTGACTTCCTGGGCTCAAGTAATCCTCCTGCCTCAGTCTCCCAAGTAGCTGGAACTACAGGTGCATGACCAACCATGCCTGGCTAGTATATTTTTTTAAAGAAAATGTCTCACTATGTTGCCCAGGCTTTCAGAACTTCTTTACCCATTTTTAAGATTGGGGTCCTTCATGATGCCAGGGTTGGCTCATTGCAGTTTATGAGCATCAGCTATGGTGGAGACAAATGCCCGCACTGTGAGATGCCTTCGGAGTTTGTTGGTTTTAGCTGCTGATCTCATTGTTGGGTGATTTGCTTCTTTCTCATAGTATTAGGGTTTAGGAAAAATTCATGGTTACTTCAAGGTTCCAGGCAAACCAGTGTTCATATAAAAAATTTGGCTGCTGTTTGATAAACTTTGTTGACAACCACTTTGACTTAACATTCTGTTGCTATACACCACAAAGAGCTTTACACCTGGATCCACACATGTAAGGTTTCCATTATTACGTCTGAGAAGACGAGGAGCTACTTTTCCAAGGCAAGTAGGAGCCTCCCCAAGGGTCTCATGACCTCTGCATGCTAGGCGGCATGTCAGGGAATAATATAGTCAGTCAAGGGCATGCCACAGTCATAAATGCGCCCTCCGCCAGCCTCGCTGACTTACAATAAAGAATCACTTTACACTCACGCCGTCTGTTCATCAAAAGTCAGCTTAGCCGTTTCCCGTGTCGTCTTCACTCCAGGATTCAAGATGATGGAGTAACTTTCAATTCAACATTGCCAACCAGATAACAAAAGAAGAAGCGCATCATGTATCATATACCAGCTTTTAAAGACACAAATCACTTCCATTCACAGTTCATTGACCAAAGCAAGTACATGGCCGTTCTTGACCACAAAAAATTGTTTTGCAGGGCAGGTGCCATAAGGAGATATATGCAGATTACTATCTGCAGTATGTGGCAGATAGTAATAAAACCTTTCCATAGCCAGCCTTCCACATTCAAATCAGATCATGCTACCAAAAAGACATCATCTTCATTTCTTTAACAAGAAGTTATTGGGCATCTACTCTGTACCAGGCACTGTTCCAGCCACAGAAGATTCAGCAACGAACTAGACAAATAGCTCCCTTCTCCCATGGAGCTTATATTGTAGGGAGGGGCATGGGTACTAAATAAGTAAACAAGTAAATACAAAGGATAATTATAGGTTGTAATAGATAAAGATTAAACTTATACCTCAGGAAAGGGAGTATGAAGTTGTAACTAAGAGTACAGGCTCTGAAGTCACACTGCCTGGGTTCTTAACTAGGGTTACCAGATGCAATACAAGACATCCAGTTAAATGCAAAGTTCAGATAAACAACGAATAATGTTTTTGCATAAGTAGCTTCCAAATATTGCATGGGACATATTTATACTAAAAAACTGTTTATCGGGCTGGGTGCGGTGGCTCATGCCTGTAATCCTAGCACTTTGGCAGGCCCAGGCAGGCGGATCATGACGTCAAGAGATCGAAACCATCCTGGCCAACATGGTGAAACCCCGTCTCAACTAAAAAAAAATACAAACATTAGCTGGGTGTGGTGGCGCACTCCTGTAGTCCCAGCTACTCAGGAGACTGAGGCAGGAGAATTGCTTGAACCTGGGAGGCAGAGGTTGCAGGGAGCCGAGATCGCCCCACTGCACTCCAGCCTGGTGACAGAGCAAGACTCTGTCTCAAAAAAAAAAAAACTGTTTATTGAAAACGTAAACTTAACTGGACATCTTGTAATTTTTATTTGCTAAGTCTGCCAACTCTATTCCTAACCCAGTTATGCCACTTTCCAGCTGTGTAATCTGGAACAAGTTATAGTTACTTAATCTCTCTGTGCCTCAGTTTCCTTATCTATGATATAGGACAGTAATACTACTTACCTGCCAGGGTTATATTAAAAATTAAAGTTAGCATACGTAAGGTACTTAGATTAGTGCCTGGCACGTAGTAAACATGCAATAAATGACAGTTGGTGTTTATTAGGTTGGTACAAAAGTAATTGCAGTGTTTGCTATTCTAATGGCAAAAACCGCAATTACTTTTGCTCCAACCTAATATTATCCAATAGAAAGGTGAGCAATTATATAGAAATTAGAAAAAAAATTCAATATTGTCATCTGATGAAAGAATCTCACAGAGAATGAGAGAAAAAAAATCAAGTTTTCTTTTTCTACCTTTTTAATTAATAAATATTTATTGAGTACCTTCTATTGATAAAAGTTGTATCCTAAGTCCTGAGCAGGCATCAAGGATAAAAGATACATAGGACTATAGCAGACATGATTTGCCATCTATTCAAAATCTATCTCACTTGTCTCTTCCTTAATAGAATCTTGAGTTTGTTCAAAGCAGTAATGTAGCCAAATAAATACTTGCTTACCCAGCCTCCCTTGCAGCTAGGGTGGCCATGTGACATGGTTCTAGCCAGTGAGATATAAACATAATCTGGTGAGGTTTTCCCAATAAAATGGAACTGCAGCACTTTCTTCTTCTTTCCTTGAATGTGGATGCAGCCATTATCTTGAAATATTGGGGGAAAGGCAAAGAGAATCACAGTGGTGTCAGTCCCAACACCACTGAGCTTCTGAACCAATAGAAGCAGCCACTTACCTCCAGGCTTCTTATAAAGTGAGAAAATTATGCCTTATTTGTTCAGGTCACTGTTAGTCAGGTATACAGTTGTTTGCTGCCAATCTCATTCCTGTTATAAAGACATAACACCTTTCCTCAAGGAGTTTATAGGCAGTCCCTTAATTTTCTGCTCCTTAAAACTACATTGAAGTATAAAAAAAATTGTTTATTTCCAAGGATTTCAAAATAATATCCAAAAGGGGTATATTCCCAGAGATTTTAAAAGTATAATATTGCTTGCCTTTGGAACATCATCTTGAAGCTCTATTTCCACCATGTGTGGTGGTTAATTTGTGTGTCAACTTGGCTGGGCCATAGTGCCCAGATATGTATGTGATGGAACATTTTCTACATATTTCTGTGAGGGTGTTTTGGATGAGATTAACATTTAAGTAGTTGGACATTTTTTTTTTTTTAAATGAAATCTCACTCTGTTACTCAGGCTGGAGTGCAGTGGTGCGATCTCAGCTCACTGCAACCTCCACCTCCTGGGTTCAAGTGATTCTCATGCCCCAGCCTCCTGAGTAGCTGGGATTACAGGCATGCACCACCACACCTGGCTAATTTTTGTATTTTCACTAGAAACAGGGTTTCACCATGTTGGCCAGGCTGCTCTCAAACTCCTGACCTCAAATGATCCACCTGCCTTACAGGCTTGAGCCACCATGCCCAGCCAAATCGGTGGACTTTGAGGAAAACAGATTGTCCTGCATGATGTGGGTGAGCCTCACCCAGTCAGCTGAGGCCTGAGTAGAACAAACCACTGACCTCCTCTGAATTAGAAGGAATTCTGTCAATAGGCAGCCTTTAGATTTGAACTGTGACACTGGTTCTTTCCTGGGTCTCCAACCTGGTGGCCTTCAGACTAGACTGCAGATTTTGGACTTGCTGGCTCTCACAATCACATGAGCTAATTCCTTAAAATAAGTCTCTGCTACTCTTTCAGGATACACATCTTATTGGCTCTGATTCTCTGGATAACCCTGACTATACATTATGTTCTATATAATTTGTTCACTTTATTCTTTCTTGTCACAGTTAAACACAAAAGTCACCCCTTATAAATAAAACAAACACCCAAATCGAAGTTCCATCCCTAGCATTCAGCTTGCCAAATGATCTCCATCTTTGCCTTGACTGCATCAAGTTTTATAAGGTCTTCATTTTTTTTGTCACGAGGATGAATATTTTCATTTTTCCGCTTTACTTTTTTTTTAATAAAACAATCACTGCAAATGTAATAAAGTATTTAAATAATTGTCCCCAAACTGCCATACCAAAGAAAGTGATGAAACCATAGAACAGAGCAGCTGGCTGGCCAGCAACTCTGCTGTGGGATAGCTGGGAATGTTCGTTTTTGCCAGCTGATGCATGAGAGCCTGAATTTGACATGTAACACTCAGTTTAGAAGTGTCAGTGTGGAGTGTGAAAAGGGTGCTTAGGTCGTTTTAAAGCACAATCATTAAAGTTGAGGACTACCTATGCAACGCAGTAGCGACCTATGAGAAGTCTACAAATAACTTTAAAGCCAGATTTGACAAGTGACTGAAAAGGAGATAATGAAAGGCAGAGAGAGGCTGGAGCAAAGACAAAGAATTTACATCCTTTTTTCCACCCTCCTGAGTTTTCAGCTATTCTGAGATAGACATAGGAGCTTGGCAGATGGAAATTACAATATCACTTTTATTATCTCTGGAGTTGTTAAAATAACTACAGCCAACTTGGCTTATACAGGCTTAACTTATGAATTAGGCAGTCCCCAGCCCCAGGCCCAGCTGGGCAAATGCTTTGTACTGCACAGCAGAGATGTCAACCAGAGTAAAAGAAGGGAGGAAGGGGCTGGGTCGGCATGCCCAGATCATTCTCTCAGACTTACCTACCAGATGTCACTTCTGAGAAGAAGATTGAGGGAGGCTGGGAGAAAGGCCAGTAGTGGGGTATCTAGATAAAA